GGTGGGTGGGGAGAAAAGTGCAACAGTGAATGAATGGAATTCCAAAATCTCTGTAGATGTTCACGGAAATTAATAATAAGTTTAAAAATAAAAAATCCTATAATAAATTGGTAAGTAACTAGTCATACCAGTTTTTAAGCCACCATCTGTAGTACTAGTCATACCAGTTTTTAAGCCACCATCTGTAGTGCTATACCTTTTTCTAACGCTGAGTAAAATGAACTTTTAGATTTCAAAAATAACATTGCATCCTATAGAAGATAATCCTGTTGAAGAAGTTTCAGTTCTAACTCCAGAGGATCTTGAAGCAATCAAGAATCCAGATTCTATCACAAATCAGATTGCTCTTTTGGAAGCCCAGTGTCATGAAATGAAGCCAAACCTTGGTGCCATTGCAGAATATAAAAAGAAGGTATGGATGATGGATGAATTAAGCATAGTTCTATGTTTAATAGAGATCTCATTGAGTCTTAAACGGAAACTTTGTTTATATACTTGGCAAAAATCTTACTGATTCTCTCCATTTTATCAGAATAGATGATTTTCTCATGATACTGTTTTCACAGGAAGAATTATATTTGCAACGGGTAGCAGAATTTGACAAAATTACAGCGGAAAGAGATTATTTTAGACAGGCATATGAAGATCTACGGAAGCAGAGGCTTAATGAATTCATGGCAGGCTTTTATGTGATAACAAACAAGCTAAAAGAAAATTACCAAATGCTCACTTTGGGAGGTGATGCTGAACTGGAGCTTGTGGACAGCTTGGATCCCTTCTCTGAAGGAATCATGTTCAGGTTTGTCACTTTAATCAATATGCTGAGTTTTGAATCCTAATATCTTTCTAATTTTTTAAATCCTTAGTTTGTCAAATCTTGATATACTACCCACAAGACAAACTAAGGATTTAAAGATTTGAGCCTAAAACTTGTTTCATTTAAGTTCAGTACTAATTGCTCACATACTGGCATTTTAACATACAATATGGACAGAATATTAAGCCCTTTGTAACAATTTATCTGGTTCTGTGCTTAAAAAATTGCTTTCAGCTAAACATGAAGATTTGAAAACTTAAAAGTAAAAAATCACATTAGAACAAGATGGAAGAACAGGAAGGATCATTATTAGGCACTGTTGACTATTTATTTCCATGTGCTTCTCCTTAAAACTTCGAGCTTTGGTGGCATAGACTGTAGAGTTGCTCAGCTAACTCAAAGGTTCAAATCCACCAGTGGCTTCTTGTTTAAACATGCTATATGATTTGTGTACTTCTGCTTTTCAGATCTTTTTAAATGTCAAAATCTCAATCGAGCTTCACAAATCCAAGACAGGATAACTTCAGTGATATAATCCTCAGGCATTGTGCTAGTAATAAAAAAGCCTGTGCAATTTACAGCCTCTGATGCCCAGTGGAGGCTCAGCAGTGAGCCTTTTCAAACTCCAAAGAGGGACCTTAAAGACAGCAAATTTAGATGCCAGAGGGAGGTGTTCTCCCAAATTGAAAATCATCTGAGTTAGTAATTTAACCAGCAGATACTTTGATTTCAGTGTCCGACCACCTAAGAAAAGCTGGAAGAAGATCTTCAACCTTTCCGGAGGAGAGAAGACTCTTAGTTCCTTGGCTTTAGTATTTGCTCTTCACCATTATAAACCCACTCCCCTTTACTTCATGGATGAGATTGATGCAGCCCTGGATTTTAAAAATGTGTCTATTGTTGCATTTTATATATATGTAAGTAATAATTTAAGCATTTGCACTTTGAAAGTTTTACGCAAAATTCTTTGTCATTTATCCCTAACTACATGCTGTCAATTTTAATCAAGTTTTCCATTTTAGCAAAATCTAAATAATGCAAATTTGTACCAGAAATAACAGTTTAAAATCCCAAGTCTGCTGCCTTTAATTTTTCCCTTAGAAAATTTCTGGACAGCCATACTTGTTGAATTTTAAAATTCTTCCTAAAGCCAAATACTGTTAATTCATCAATGTGGTCATATTGAATTTATTGCCCAGAAAGAATTTTCAAGAAATAAAAGTTTAAGTTATTTATTTTCTGCTTTGTTCACTTAAAATTAAGCCTTTCTCTCTCTGCTTTCTCCTTAGGAACAAACAAAAAATGCCCAATTCATTATAATTTCTCTTCGAAATAACATGTTTGAGATTTCGGACAGACTTATTGGAATTTACAAAACATACAATATAACAAAAAGTGTTGCTGTAAACCCAAAAGAAATTGCTTCTAAAGGACTTTGCTAAAACTTGGGAATCACTGCAAGTTCTCCAGATTCTATGTTCAGTTTGTGTATAGTATTTTCTTTTTGTAAATGATTACTTATATATTTACTCCTAAACTGGGCTACAAGATTTAAATTTTGTGGAGTTAAGACATGAAAGTCTAAAGGAACTTTGGTTGCCTGGTGGCAAGAAGCTGCACTGCAATTCCAAAGGCTGGAGTTTTGAATCCACCAGGTGTTCTGCTGGAGAAGGAGGGGCAATCTTCTGTGCTAGTGGGCTCTGACTCAACAGCAGTACACACCAAGGGGAAAAAGACATGGCAGTCTGAGTTTACAAAAGACTATGAGAAAATTAAATGCCTAGAGGGTTTGGTTCCAGATTGTTACCAGAGCTGAAATTTTGATACATAGTTAAATTCTGATTTAGAGGACTGCCTGGCTCTACTGGCCTTCAGTCTACACTGGAAACCTTCCAAGTGATAATCTTAGATCAAGTCTCAAGACAGTCAACCTAATGTAGAAATTTAGGATTTATTAAGCAAATAATTAAAATCACTTCTAGACACATTAAGGGTTAACTTGGTTAAATAAAATTGAATGCCATTTGTTTTGCCTAATGAAATTATGGAGGGGATTGTCTTTTTTTTTTTTTTTCTTTCTCACTGATAAAATGCATAATGCTGCAGAAATAATTTGGCCACCACTTTGTTTACTGAAGATACTGGTACTGAATCAAGTCTGTGCCCTAATTATATTCAACTGTTGAGGGCACCACTGTTTACCATTGATTTGAAATGTACTCAGAGTTGACCTTCCAACTGAGTTTTCAGAGGCAAAGTCTTACTTCCAATTATGTTCTTTTGTTTTATGTAAGGAGAAAGCCTGTTGTTGTTGTTATGTGCCGTCGAGTCGCCTGCAACTCATAGCTACCCTATGTACAACAGCCCTAAACTCCACTGTCCTGTGCCAATCGCACTGTCTCTGACACTCTCATCCCAATTATCCCAGTCACTGAATCAATCCACCTCATAGAGGGCCTTCCTCTCCTGTGCTGTCCCTCCAAGGACTGGTCTCTCCTCACAACATGTCTAAAGTATGTTAGACAGAGCCTCAGAATCCTTGCCTCCAAGGAGCCACCTGGTTTAACCCTTTCCAGGACAAATCTGTTTGTTTTCCTAGCAGTCCATGGTATTCTCAGTACTCTTCTCCAGCGCCACATCTCAAAGGCATCAATTCTCCTATCCTCCTTGGTCCCACATCTCAAAGGCATCAATTCTCCTATCCTCCTTGGTCATTGTCCAACTCTCTGATGCATAACAGGTGATTGCGAAGACTATGGCCTGTATCAGACGCACCTTAGTCTCCAGAGAGACACCACACCACTGCTCTTCAGCACTTTGGAGAGGTCCCTAACAGCAGACTTGCCCATGGCAATGCGCCTTTTAATTTTCCTGGCTGCTGGTGCCAAGACTGTTGACTACGGAGCCAAGCAAACTAAAGCTGTGTATAATCTCAATCTCTTCACCATCCATCCTGATGCTGCCATTTGGTCCAGTGGTGAGAATCTTTGTCTTCTTTATATTGGGCCTCAATCCTAGACACTCTGCAGCAGGCGCTTCAGGTCCTCCTCAGTTTCAGCAAGCAGGGTTGTGTCATCCGCATAACACAGATTGTTGATAAATCGTCCACCAATCTTGACCCCACATTTCCCCTCATAGAGCCCCGCCTCTTGGATAATCTTTTCTGCATATAGGAGAAAGCCTAGGATTTTATAAAGATGAAACAGAATAAAGTGCTTTTTCATTGGTGAGTTGAGATGGAATTTTATATTTCTATTACAAAGTCTGAACACATTAAACCATTCAATACATGTGATATATATAGTTTATTAAAATACAAATAGTGCAACAAAATTGTGTCCTCTTGGCTCACATAACCAGTTATTTGGTACATGATTTTATATTCATGCACATTTCATGAAGTTCATAAAAATAGTTTTAGTTTTATCTACCAATAAACTAGTAAATTATGAAATAGTAATGTCAAATCAAAAATTTTTGACCTCACAAGTAAGCTATAATTTGTAAATGAGAAACTATTCTTGCCCTAATTTAATCCTTAAAGCCAGCATGAACTCTGATAACTTAAATTCTGGTTCTTTGGCTAAATTACATCTGTCCCTATTTTGTGATCTATAGTAGAAAAATCAGAACTGTGAAATTAAGTTTGATTGTAATAGCCATTGTTTAATGCCTACTTGTTGTTATGTGCCATCGTTTGCGGCTCATAGCAACCCTATGTGCAACAGGCCTAAACCCTGCTCTATCCTGTGCCAATCTCATTGCCCCTGAAACACCCATCCCGATTACCCCAGTCACTGAATCAATCCACCTCATAGAGGTCTTCCCCTCCTGCGCTGTCCCTCTACCTAGCATGATGTCCCTCTCTAAAGACCTGTCTCCTTACAACATGTCCAGAGTATGTCAGACGAAGCCCCAGAATCCTTGCCTCCAAGGAGCAGTCTGGTTTAACCCTCTCTAGGATGAATCTGTTTTCTTGGCAGTCCATGGTATATTCAATACTCTTCTCCAGCACCACAGCTCAAAGGTGTCAATTCTCTTAGTATTTTTAAAAACATGGCACTTACAGTAAGGCATTTATCAATCCCCATTTTGCTGGTAGACTAGTATTTTCATAGAGTCCATGCAACTTCAGTATAAAGTATGTTTACCTTTCCAAGCAGCTGATAGATACTTCTCCCTAAATACAACCCCAACGTTATTCATCTGTCTAGTATTCTTTGACTCCCACAGTAATTATGCAGAAGTAGGCATTCCTAAACACATATAAAAAGCTTGGCCTACTTTAAAAACCTCTTGATTCTGATCACTAAGTAATGTCAGCAGGTAAAGCCCTTAAAAGTGTTTGAAATTAATATCCTTAATATAGCCATATTTATTTACTGCAACATACCTGTAGGGTCAGAGAGTAGTCTTTCTAAACTACATAAAACTCATGTGGTTGAAGAGCCACGATCTGTTTTGGAATTTGGAAAGCAAAAGGCATACCACCAGTATCACAGTATTAAAAGGAATGCATTAAAGAGATTAAATAGCTAGGCTCTTCAAGCAAAATTTAAGAAAATTATATTACTTTATACTTTGGTATTAGTCCAAGAGACTATTTAGGTGATATAAATACCAATCATGCAAACATTCTTAAGATTATAATTTTCTAATGACTGGAACAGTGTTTCAGAATGTCTTTAACTTGTATATCATTTCTATCCAGTAAAAGTATATGTTGCAACTCCATGGTAGCCTTATTTCTCCGTTTTTACTCTCTGCAATAGATTGACTTTTCACTGGGAAACTATTTTCCCCATGTATTCCTTCAGCAAATAGAAATTGTGACATAATCTATCCTTTAAATCATACAGATAGTTAGAAAAACTTTGATAAACAGAAAGAGACACTTCATAAAAGCATATTGAAGTTATTTCATTTAAGAAGAGGATTATGTGCTGGTTAAAAAAAAGTATCAACAAGAGTATCATTGAAATGAGTGTAACTATAACAATGTTTAAAATTTTAAAGAATTCAACTTCTTTTTCATCCTTATCAGGCCAGGATGGCACCCTTTTTGAAGAAATTTTCATTTCTGGAATGAGGACTGTGTTAATTTGTCCAATTTCTGTTCTGCACCATTCTTCTTGCAATACCTGGCTAACTGGAGGACAGATTTCAATAGGGTAAATCTCAGGAAGTGGTCTTTGTTTTAAAATCTGAACACGCTGGCGGACATCATCCACCCTCTCAAGAAATTTAAGCGGGGGCTCTTCTTGCAAAGATGTTGTCAGTGTTATTAATTCTAGCTGCTGCTGTCTTATTTCTTTCATTCTTTCAATTTGTGGAGTATATTCTTGATTAATCATCTTTCCAACATCACAGAGAACAGTTAGGAAAATTTTCTTTTTCTGTTCTATGGTTTCACTAAGCTCTTTAAAATACTGGAGAACAATTTCTTTGTCACTTTGGATCATTTTTTCAGAATGAGATTTTTGTTGTTCTAACTTTTCTATAAAATGTGTAAGATCTGTCCAGTAGTTGTCAGTTAACTGTTCAAGCAGCTTTTGAGGTGTGTCTTTTTCTTTCAAATAGGCACTTTGAAGATCATCTATAGGGTGACCATGATGTTGACCAATGGTGAGGCAATGTCCACAGACTAATTTCTTATCTAGCAGACAATAAACATTTAAGGGTTGCCTGTAATGTTCAGGGCAGGTGGCAATATCTGGGTGATCATCTTGCTGGTACTTTTCAATAATAGCCCTTAATGCAAAATTAACAGGCAAAGACTCAATGCCAGTTGGAGCAATTTCAATAATACTTCTGCAATTGGGGCATTTGAGTGGAATTCGTAAAGGTCTCCATATGTAAAAGGTGCCAGATGCCTGAAGAACATTTTCCAGACAATTTCTACAAAATGTATGAGAGCATGGTAATACACGAGGATCTTCAAAAATACTGTAACAAATGGGACACGTTAACTCATCTTCAAAATTGTGCATTTCCTGCCAAGAGAAAGAAAAAACTTTTTTAAGTCCACATATAATAAAGGCACCAGCACATATGTGAAATTTTAGGAGTTAATCACCCAACAATGTTAACATGCTGTTTACCATCTAAAACCACCACTCTTTTTTTTTTTTTAATTGCACCATGGTAGCATTCTATCTGTTTTAAATACAAGCAGGTTCACAGCCATCTCCAGCCAAAGTAGAAAGCTCTCCTGGCCTATAAGTTTTCAGAGGCTGTAAATCACACAGCAGGCAACGATCCATCTTTTTCACAGCATCTATGATTTCAGAGCACCCTGAAAACTGGCTATCAAAAATCTTAGAAAACCCAACAGAACACTTATTCAAGAGACTGAAATGAACTTCATGAAGAAGACTATGACATCAGGATCAGACTTAATAACCTGCAGAACAAATACAGCTTCCATTATGAATTGCAATGCAGTTTCAAGAAAACAAAACTCCTTACTCGTGGGCTTATACACAAAATGATAGATGGGAGATACGATTTAAAACTGTCATTCTTTTTTGGATCTACAACATCCTTGGTACCAGCAGTTAGGAGATGTCTTACATTGGGACAGTCTAGATTATTGAGGAGCAATTATCTTTTCACCCTTATTTGGTTGACCTTATTGATCTGCCTTATTTGGGCAGACTTACTTCTCAACCACTTGGTATGCTGCTGTGAGTAAGGATGGCAGAAGTGAAAAGTGCTTAATATCCCATGAACTGTCTAAAGAACAGATAGGTTTTGCAGAAAGTGCAGCCAGAGTGCTCATGGTAGAGGGACATCAGGCTTGGCAAGGTGGCAGGATAGCAAAAGACCCTCAACTAGGTGGATTGACACAAGACAGCTATGGGCTCACGTGTGTCAAGAATAGTGAGGATGGCACAGGATAAGAAAGGATTCCGATTTTTTTGTCCTTAACATCTAACATATGTTAGCAGCCTGAGTCCTGCTGAGCCTATGTACAGTAAGATCAAACGATCATGGATCCACACACAGCATTTTCTCTTTTTTTAAAAACTGATTTTGCAGAAGTAGATTTCCAAGCCTTTCTGTTTTAAACTGAAAAGCTCCAGTAAAAACCTGTTCTGCAGCACAGCTATGTGCAAGCCAGAAAAGTGTTAACTGCGCTTGAGGTACACTGGTTAGAGCAAACCCCGGGTCTGCATCATTCCTATGGAGCAACAATTACACAAACTAATGCCAATTAATTTGTAATAAAATGCTTCAAATTAAAAGTTTTTACTACATAAATTTATGGTGTTGAAGGTTGTTTAGTAAGTGCATTGTGTTAAAATAATGTTTCCGCCTATGAATAGCATCTGAAATAAGAGTGTGCTAGGTATGTGTCTTGTGTTATCCTCAGTCTCTGACATGTGGCCCATTGCTGTAGTCACTGTGTCAATCCATCTGTTTGAGGCTCTTCCTCTTCGCCTTTGTAAGCATGAAGTCCCTCTCCAAGGACTAGCCTCTAGCAAAATGTCCAAAGTATGTGAGATGAAGTTTTGTCATCTTTGCCCCCAAGGAGCACTCCAGCTGCATTTTCTCCAAGACACACTTTTTTTGTTCTTTTGGCAGTCCATAGAATGCATATTCAGTACTATTCTCCAACACCACAGTTCAAAGGTATCAGTGCTTCTGTAATCCTTATTCACTGTCCAAATCTCAGATGCACAGCAAGTGATTGAAAATACCAGGCCTGAATCAGGTGCACCTTAGTCCTCAAACTTAACATCATTGCTCCTCAATGTGAAGGGTTCCCTAGCTAGAGACTTACCCATTGCAATACATCTCCTGACTGCTGGTACCAGGGTTGTTGACTGTGGATCCAAGATTTAGTCACTGACAGTATCAGTCTACTACATCTATCATCACGTTGGGAGCTCTGGTGGCCTAGTGGTAGGAAGCTGCACTGTAATCCCAAATGCGCATGGTTCAAATCCACCAGCTGCTCTTCAGGAGGATGGGCAAGCTCTCATACCTCTGAAAACGTGAAGGATCATCTATAGGTCAGTTGTGACTCGATGGTATGCAAAAACAACATGATGTGCATTCAGTCCAATGGTAAAAAGTTATGTTTTCTTACAGTTGAGATGCAATCTATACTGAAAGCAGTATTCTTTGATCTTCTGCAGCAAGCACTTCAAGTCCTCACTCTAACCAAGCAAGGTTGTGTCATGGTATATATAATGTGGTTTATGGATGAGTCTTCCATTCCCATGCCAAATTTTATGATTTATTAAGCATACAGATTGAGTAGGTATGAAAAGAATACAAACCTGATATACACCTTTCTTAATTTTAAACCACTTAGTCTTCTCTTTGTTCTGTTCACACAACGGCCTCTTGGTCTAGGTTTAAGTGTCACATGACCATGATTAAGTGTTCTGGGATTACCATTCTTCTCAATGTTAGCCACAATCTGTTGTGATCCACACAGTCAAATGCATTTGCAAAGTCAACTACAAAGAGATTCTGCTGGTATTCTTTGCTCTCAGCCAAGATCCATCTGACTTCAGCAATGAAATTGCTAGTGCCACAGCCTCTTCTAAATCCAGTTTGAACTTGTGGCAGTTTTGGCTGGTTTTGAATGATCTTCAGCAGTATTTTGCTGGCATTGATATTAATTATAGTTTGATAATTTCCACATTCTGCTAGATCACCTGATTACAATATGTTGGTACTGTGTGCTGTCGAGTTGAAACCAACCCACGGCTGACCCTCCAGTGGGTTTTCAGAGGTAGTAAATCACATAGGAGACTGCCTCCAAAAAAGAAAACATGTTCCACGTTGATTCCATCATGATGTTAAAAGCAAGTTATACCCCCTCACCATACACTGGACAAGTTTGCTTTTTAAAAAAAAAAAAAAATTACTGAAAATTCCATAGCTGCTTGAACTTTAATCTTTCTGCATTCTGGCTTTCTGTGTTTCTGTCCCTGCACAGTGGAACCATCATCCCCTCTTGTGGTGCTGTGCATCCTGTCCACTCTGACACCACTCTTAAGTTGGCTTCATGGCCATGGTTGCAGCAACCCAACCGACCCTGCTCATCCAGATTTAGGGCAGGCCTCAGCTGAAAACTCAATGTCTACAGTTCCTGGAGTATTACTCAGGATATTCCCCCAACACCGTCAAACCCCTGCCCAGATGCAGACCTTGACCCTCCCAGCCCACCATACCTGCTTGTCCACAAAGCCAAGTAGTCCTGCCCTTTCAGATGAACTACCTAGGTGCCCACTCACACACCTCATCTCTAATTCCCCAGCTTCAAGACCAAACCTCCAAATACTAGATTTAGTAGATCTTTTTTTAAACTGGTGTCATAAATGCAAAATATGATAGTCGCTAAGTGAGGAGGGGAGTATACTTTGTAAGATGAAAAGTTTGAGAAAACAGCCACTGAATGTTTTTAAAAAATTGCCAAGCTGAACTCATCCTTTTTAAAAAAAATTTTTTTTAAATATTTTTCTTTTTATGTGTGTAACATCAAATCAGATCTGACTGGTACAGGAGGAGATTGTCCCTCCTTCTTCAGCAGAACATCTGGTGGATTCGAACCTCACATCTCTGGGACTGCAGTGCAGCTTCTTGCCACTAGGCCACCAGAGATAGCCATATATATTATATATATTTTTCTATATTAGAATATATGTCTCAAGGGCAGGAATTCATTACTATAGTTGTATTATATGCCTTTTGCACAAACTTGACTACTGGTAAATAGCCTTTTAAAGAGAGAACTTAATACTATGTCTTGTACAGTGTTTTGAGGAGAAAAAAATCAAAAGATAGGGAGGGGGATCTCTAGGAAAAAGTATAATAGAAAGGTCAGATAGTTTTCTGACTGGCAATACTGAGAATCATAATAAGCCAAGATGTACCACACAGCAATTAAGTGGCAACTTGTACTGCATTCCAGGAAGCAGCAACAAAGGGAGGACATTCACTGCAAATTCATTCAAGTTAAAGCATGCTGGGAAGGCTTCATTCTACAACACCTATGCTCTCAAGTCCTATAAAAACCACCAAAGAAAAACATGACTTTCAGGTATTTTAATGCTGTCAAAATTCACAAGAAAATGATGAATAGAAAATAACACTCTATAAGGAATAAAAATTTGAGCCATGAACATAGAAAATTAATCTAGATTTAATTTTATTGTTGCTGTTAGGTGACATCAAGTCACCTACCACTCATAACACCCTAAGTAAAAGTACAGTGCCATCCTCAAAATCCCTATTACAGCCACCATGTTAATCCATCTTGTTGAGGGTCGTCCTCTTTTTCAAGCATTCGCTTTCTCCTGGAACTGGCTCCTCCTGATAATATGCCCAAAGTATGTAAGATGTTTTTTCACCATCCTTGCTTCTAAGGAATATTCTAACACTTTTTCTCTGGAAGATCTGTCCATTCTTTTGGTGGCTGAGCTGGGACCAACCCATAGCTGACCGTCGGGGTTTTCAGAGGCAGTAAAATCACACAGGAGGAAAACTCCCACCTTTCTTCCATGGAGCAACTGGTGGATTTGCACCATATACTGTTGGTTTGGCAACACAATTCTTTACCATTAAAGCCACCAGAGCTCCCTATTCTTTTGTTATTCCATGGTATATTCCATATTCTTCAACATGATTCAGAGGCACCAACTCCTATTACTAAGCTATTAAGTAACTAAACTAAAACATATATGTTCACCTTCAAAGCTCTATTATACTTTGTCAAAAAGGGAACAACTCGGAAGCCGCCGCCAGCCGGGGAATGAGAAGAGCAACAGTCGACCAGCCACCAAGGAACTCCAGAGAAGCAAACACCGTGTGACCCCAGAGGAGCAACGACTGCCAGCCCTGCAGCCC